GTTCTGTGATTGGTAGCCGCATGGACAACCTGGACTTAATACTCCGGGTACGTTTCTTCTGTGTAAATACGAGTTAAACCCCATGTGCTCACTTCGTATTTGCACTGCCAAACTGCTTTGGGCCCTTGTCAGATTACGATGTAGGAAGAATGGTGAACCTTGAATACTCGGTTTTTGCCGTCCAGGCTCTCTACTTTGGTAAAATGTGGCTGCTCTCCAGGTTTCGGAATAATTATTACAGTCAGACACCTGTTAAGACGATATTGCCGTTTGTACGATATATTTTCCGGAACAGACTTCGTTCCCATACACTTACCGATTACTCGATTATCGTTCTCCAACCTCTGAATGTCGTCTTAACCAGGGTTTTTATTAAATAGGAAGGGCTTCTATAGCTGTATGACTGTAGAGAAGACAAGGGAATTAGCACAGTGGAAGGAGGTCAGATAGAATGAGAAGCGATAGTGTTATATTCACAAGAGTGAGATAGACTCCAAACTGCCAAGTACAAACTTTCTCCACGCGACTGATCTACATGAGTAGCGTTATTGACGCGACTCCTAAGTTTGACCTTAAGTAATAATTATTAATTCATATTATTGTCCTATCTGAGTCTAAGACTATGTAGGACATGCAGGTCCTCCCTGCCTACAGGCCAAGGATACCTATACCAGTAGTATATCCCCTCCTATGCCTCCCGTACAACTCCCCTCAAACAGTACCACCCCTCACAAGTCCTCATTCGATCATACACTTAGAGGAGCCCTTAGCCCTTTATCATCTCCCCTCTCCAGCCAACGAAACGATGGCTATTTGCGGGTGTATGGCAGCTGGGAAAAATCGCAAAAACCACTGAGTACGGAGCTCTCCTGATACCGACATTAGGACTAGATCCGAAGACATGGTAATCCTTCTGAAGCGTTCGAAGAGGCCGGCCAGCTGGGCGCTGCAGACTTGTGGGTACCTCGGAGAATTCACCCTCTGCCTTTCTAGCCTCCTTCCAACTCCTTCCCGAAGGTCGTGGTGAAATATCAGAAAAGTCTTGACAGAGCGTGATTGCTGTATAGTAGCTTAGCCTAGCTTCTTTTGTGCCGTCCAGGGTGCTGGAGAGTGCCGTTGACTCATCGACAAGAGAAGCCCTCCTGGCTAACTAGCCGAAATCTCGGTCTTGGCGCCCACAAAAAATTATTAGTTGAAAACTCCTCGAAAATATTGGTCCCAGAATGCTCTTCAGAGACCTTTTTCCCCTCTCGCTCCACATCTCAGCCGCCTTTTCTTCCTCAAGTTGATTGTCCCATTAGAGCAACAGTCCCCCGTAAGCCAAGACCCAGGATTTGTATTTTTCGACTTGATTTCCTCCTTGCGGGTATATGTAGCGTCGTAAATATGTAGTGAGAGATGGCTGGAGATTAATGGGGCAAGCTCCTGTATGCAATTGGAGCAACTTCTTTATTGGTCGTTGAGCGATATGATGCATGGTTAGAGATGGGTTGAGAACTCAGATGATAATGATGAGAGAGGCAATGTCGAGAAGTTGTTAAATGGAGATGTGTTTGAGGTTGCTTTCAACTTCTATTCGGATGCGATTCTTCTTGGCTATCCCAGATATGCAGAGCATACTAAGCGATTACACCGGCACCACTGGGAGGTGAAGAATTCGTCTTTGCCGGCTTGACCTTAAGTAACTCGGCTAGGTCTTACACCAACCAGACACACCTTGTCATTTAACAGTTTTTTATTAAATTAGTGCTATTAATGCTGCCAAAAAAGGGAACTTGTGCAGAGCAACGACGTGCTCTGCGACGATGGGCGCACCGCCAGGTCCCAAGACCAACACAAAAACAGTGCATTTAGTGGTCCTTCGCTGAGTACGGCCATCGATTAAGCCAGTCCACAGTCTCCGAGTCCTTAAACAAGACCTTTACGAAACTCGACGAAGCTACAAGTACTACTGCGCTACGACAGCGATCTGGAAACTGACCTCACCTTGAGAGTATTAGAGCGATTAAAGACGGCAATTGGGAGTATAAAAGAGGCATCAAAAGTACAAAGTAGTCTAGATAGCCGGATTGATAATCAAATCCATCTAAACGATATCCTCTACATGACGATATTTTTCACGGCCCCAATTACATTGTCTAAATAGAAGCCATCCTGGCTGATTAGCCGAAACCTCGGCCTTGACGTCCACGAACGTTCCGAAGTCGAAAACCACTCGAAAATATCAGTCCTATCATTCCTAGAAGAGGTCTCTACCTTATCTCTTACCGCGCTCCAATCGCCTGTCATTTCCCAAAATGTGTAACCCCATAAGAGCATTAGTCCCCCATAAACCAAGACCCCAACTTTTTATATTATGACTTAATTTCCTCCTTGCGGGTATATGTAACGTCGTAAATTTTTAGTGAGTGATGACCGGTAATAAATGAGGCAAGCTCCTGTTTGCAATTGGGGTGACGCCTTTATCGGTCGGCGAGACGAGATGATATGTGTTTAGATTGGGGTTGAGGACTCAGATGATAATGGTGAGTGCTGCACAATTAAAAATCGTCAAATGGAGATATGCTTTTTTTTTACATCAGATTTTAATTGCGTATGCAGCTATCTAGCTTTGACACAATATCGAAGAAAGGTACAAAAAAGATGACTCAATTTACAAGAGGAGCACTCATGCCTCGGATTTCATTTGCAAGTACCACTGCGAAGTTATGGTGGCTTTTTCTTCACCCCAAGTAAACCCTCATCCGTGAATACCCACCCAGGGGAACGTCTCAAAAACCCTGAGTTATGCAAACATGCCTCCATCACCTTTCAACTTTTCTCTGAGCGAAATGTGGTCTGAGGTATCTCCTTCCCAAGTGGAGTAGGTGCCCAGGCTACTCAAACTATACCAGAGAACACCAACAGGAGGCGGACCACAACACCTTCCTTCGTTGGCTTGTGTTTATTGTGTCAGCTGCACTCTCGCAAGCGAAGTCTAGGCACGCACAAAGCCCAATTCGTAAAACTCCTTGCCAAAATTCAAAATCACTTGCCCGTCGAGATTGTGACTATCCTTTGCACGTCTTGAGAACTTGTCCTGATTCCTCTCACGTCCATACCAACGAGTTGCCTCCCAAATTTTTGCGCCACGCTTTGCTTCCTCCGTCGGGTATAAAAATCGGCGTGGGCGTGTATTTGGTGGTCAACTGAGGCCAGAGAAGGTCGAAGAGAGGTGTGGTCATTGGGATGAGAATGTACTAGGTCGTACTTGTAGACTCGATGAGACTTAGGTAGAAGTCAGACTCGTTGGAAGCGAAAGAATGATGTGGTGGAGTAATTCAAATCATTTCCTCGTGGGACAACTCCTTTAATAATGCGAAATTTTACAGAACTTGGCTCTGGGAGAATATTACACACCCAGGTTTGTAGAGCACTCTGCGTACGAGTGTTCAGTCTTGCCCTACATGCGCCAAATCAGGACATTTGAATCAAAGCAAATAATAATAACGTAATGTGTGCGTGAAGTGGGTTTCGTTATGTTGTATATAGTTAAAACTAGCCGCATTGTACTTAAACGCGAGGGCAGATATCAATTGACTTAGAAAGCGCAAGGTTACATTCACAGGGACAAAAAAGCTGAGAGGCAGACATGTATTTGTCTTCTGAGCCCCCTTCGATAAAGTTTAGCCTTGAAAGAAATTCACATGTAGCCTATTTCCTGCCTCGTTTGCTTTACATATTCTGGTAAAAATCCTGCCGGGCAATTGAAGTATCCTGATCAAATGTTTCCTAGAGAAATGATGAGAGTTAGGGGGCATGAAAGTTTTTTTAGTCGCAAATTCTATTTCTCCCTCAGGTTCCTTAAGTTTCGTCACCCCTAACTCATGAGCAACGGAAGGGAATATCTGGACTGTCATATTGCTATTTAGCCGCGTTACAGCAAGTTAGTTGGAACGACAGTTTTGAAGCTGCATGCTCACAACCGATTATTATTGAGAGATGTCATAATGAGAATTCCGAAGTGAAGTCTAAGGTTCGGAAGCAATTGCCTAGTGATTTGAGTTAAATTCTATGTAATACTATCTTATTATGAACCAGTTGATTAGTGCGACTTGTGCTTTGTTTATGTTGTTCATCATATATGGACCTCGGTATCCACTTGTCATAGACAAGATATCGCGGTGAGTAATAGAACATTGTTCTCCCCGCGCCAAAAATAGGCCAGTACCACCTTTGTCTACCAGAGTGGTAGGGTAAGGGCCAGAGTGATTGGCGGGTGTTTCCTTTGTATTCTAATTTTGAAGTCCCCCCAGTCGAACTTGGAATATTTTCACTAATAAATTTTGAATACAAAGGTTGTGAGAGAATCTGAGACCAGGTAAACACTTTTCTTGAAAAAATAATTGTGGGGCATCGCTTGATGACATTGAGCGTGCGAAACCAGTATCTGGAAAAATTCTGCTCAAGGGTGATTAATACATTTAAAAGTCGTGGAAGTCACACAAGATCTCATATTATATGATGTGAGTATTCAGGTATTCTAAGTTGGATCGAAGGTTATGATACGTTTATAGAATGTTTTTTGAAAAGACATATATTTATGTGCATATTCATGTATATCTTCCATTGATCAGGGCACCTAAGTTGCGTTAGACTGTAAGGTTATTTTGCGATAATCGTTATATGCTTACTGTGAAAATATTTTCTACCTAGCTTCATCGACATGACAAGTTGTGTTAGTTGTTAATTTGTAGGCCAATTGTGTATATAATTTTCTCGTCCATCATCAAGGCTGGGAAAAGCGTGCTTGGATACAATGTGAAGATATTGGAAGTAGAGCACTTTTTTATACTATCTCGGTTATATTTGGCGCTAACTCTAATCTGGTAGCAGTGTGAGCTTTGGCCGCTAATTGATAGTTGGCTCGATCTGATTGCTCCACAGTGACATGGCCATCGTATATCCACCGAACTGCGCTTACATGAAATACAACGAGATGCGAGGAAACAAGAGAAAAAATGCCCCGCAACCGATATGGGGATTATGTTGAACCTTACAACAACACCAATGGATACAACGAAGGAGGTTATATCCCTCCACCGCCTATTAATGAGGTTGAAGATTTCGATGCAAGTAGATCACAAAAAAGTACAAAATATGGAGCCCAGAATTACTCGTTATCACAATTTCCAACAAATACACGAAGTGGGATACCTTCCTCTAGATTGGCCCCTGAGAGCCAGGCTGAAAAGCAAATTGGCGAGGTCCTAGAGCACCTCAAGAGAGAATGGCCCGCGATGTGTCAGACTGAGTGTGTACCTGTTCACATTGCTCTTCAGCTCCTTGATACAAGCTCCGTTGGTAGAGCTCATGAGTACCCAAAGTTTGAACAGACGCATAATTACCTACAGGAGTCTCTCAAAGCCATTGTACATGAACATCACCAAGGATTCAATAGCTCAATCGGTACCTTTCATAAGATTCAAACAAGCCTCCAGGCTACTCAAAAACGCGTTCAACACCTGAAAGATTCTATGAACCATGCGAAGGTCAGCATCGCCTCTACTGATCCCGAGTTGAAAAATTTGGCCTTGGCATCTCAAAATTACAATGATCTCATACATATTTTATCAGAAATTGAAGAATTAAGACAGGTATCAGATCAACTTGAGGCAAGAATTTCAGATAAAAGGTTCATAGCTGCCGTAGATATGCTGCAAATGGCCTTACGACGTATAAGAACGCCTGCCCTAGACGAGATTGGTGCATTAAGTGATCTTCGAAGCTACTTTAGCAACCAAGAGACAGCCCTAACCGACATATTGATCGAGGAATTACATGATCATTTATACTTGAAATCGCCTTACTGTCAGGAACGGTGGCAGGCGATAGCTAAATACCAGGGAACGCCCAACAAGATTAAGGCAGAAAAACTAGTAGCTGTACGACCATTTTATGAGATACTAGATACTATTCATTTGTCAGAGGTGATAATGGAAGATCCATCCAGGAATCCAGAAACTGATACCTTCTATTACATTCAAATTCTTGTTGAATCTTTGAATAAGCTTGGGCGCTTGGAATATACTGTAAATATAATCAAACAGAGGCTACCCGTTGAATTATTAGGTATTCTTAATGAAACTAATAGCGAAGTCGATCAAAAGCACCCCATTTCTTTGCGAGGAAATCTAGCGCCCTCATCGAGTAATCAGCCTTTTAGTGATCGAGAAAATGGACTCAGGGCAGGTATTATTCACGACCTTCTGTGGACGCTATATGCTAAATTCGAGGCTACTGCTGAGAATCATCGAGTCTTTCATGAAGCAGTTAAAACGATCGCAAGAAGAGAAGGAAGTCGAACCTCGTCAATACTTCTTGGTGGATTTCGGGAACTTTTAAATTTGTATCAAAATGAGATCCAGTCGCTATTGCATAACTATGTAACAACAGATGCAGATATATACCAATTTACTTCATCTAGATCTGGACCAACGAAACGCGAGCCAACTAAAGATAAATTATTTAAATTCTCGGAAACAGACAATAAATCTATACAAATGACAACAGAGTATCAAGAACTGGAGGTGATAATAAAATCAGCTGTACCAGGCTTACTATCTGGTGGAAAAAATGGGACCGACGGCAAAAAAGTACCTAATAGAACTGATAAAAGTCTCAGAGGAAGCTCGATAAGACCAATATTAAACGCCTCTGGATATGAAAATAAAGCTGGTGCCACGGGATCCTACAAATCTCTTATCGAGCCTAGTATTTTCAATATGAGCTTGCTGCTGCCTCCGACACTTGTATTCCTACATCGGCTCAAGACAATTGTCCCCCCTGGCTCAGACCTCGCTACAAGCACTCTAACCTCCTTTCTGGATAATTTTTTGGTGAATGTCTTTCTTCCACAATTAGATGAGACGTTAGGAAAGCTTAGCGACTCGTTACTTGAAGAATCTGATGCTTTCCAGCAAGACCCACTTTGGAGTAATGTCTCACGCCAGCCTATATTCAAGGGTACAGTAGCCTTTTTTAATATAATAACAGCGTTCTGTAAAATGTTGAACGCTATTCCCCACGATCAAGCCCTCAGTCAGCTTATTATAACACAAATGGGAAGATACTATGACCACTTCTATGAATGGTTCAAGTCTTTGACCTCCAAGGTTAGGGACTCCGAGGATTCATCGCTGAAGTTGTCTGCAAATTTAGCAACTACTCCAGGTGAATTTTGTCTGATATTACAAAGACTATGGGCTCTTGAACAAACATCTGAACAGAATCATGGAAGTCTGTTTGAGCAAGAGATTGCTCATTTATTTAAAAAAACGAATGAGACACCCATCCAGCTGGATGATATCATTCTAGATCGGGAGGTTATATCATCTTTGTGTTTATTTTACACAAGTATGAGATGGCTTGCAGTCAAGATTAAACAACTCCGTCATATCACAAATAACAACGTTGACTCCTCACGCTGTGCTACTAAAAGGCCGATAACTAGAAGATGGTCCATTTCAGATGGAAAATCAAAGGAACCCTGCGATAAAATTAACATCTGTCTCCCAATGACTCACGAGACAGTGAGGTGACTTATCCCTTCCTTAAAACTCTCTTCATGCACTGACAGATACCAGTGGATTCGATGCAATAGTCTCCTCGTATGAGAAGCTTGCCGGAACAATAATCCTAACTCTGCGCACAGAGATCAGATGTCAAGTGATTTACTGCCTTGCGACCACTTTGTCACCTAAAACCGCAGCGCCTCATCTCCTCGAGCAAGCGGTTAATGAGCCGGACCCTAAAATATTATCACTCAATTCAGATCTCGTCGCTTATGACGAAATAATTGTAAAACTACTGCGAGTTAGGGAAGCTTGCTTCATTCGCAAAGGCCTTGGTCTGCTTGTAGATAACTTTCTGGTCACAAACGCCGGTATGGTAAAAGCCATGAACTCATTTGGTTGTGGAAGAATGCAGCTGAATATACTGGTCCTACAACAAAATCTGAAGGCGATTGAACCAGAAACTAATCTCAATCGTGCCACTGCATTCTTCAACCTCTTTATCGGAGGTCCAGATGCGGTCATAAGGCACGCTAAAAATGAGAAAGAAAAGGAGAACACTACAAAAAAGCTTTTCAGTTATGAAGAGCTCAAGACACTCATTGAACTTTGCTATAGTCAGCAAATTTCGAGTTCTGACCGAGGATCCCACACGATAGCCAGGCGAGCAATGGGAGATCATATGTTACAACTAACTGAGTACCTTTGGGAAAGTTAAAAGAAAGATCCTAATTCCAGAAGGCTTAAGGTTGAATAAATTTGCGTGCTACACCCATGATATCCCAGCCTAGTCGTGAAGAGCAGGCCAAATAAAAAAGTGAGTCCTCACCATGATTTAATCTGTAATACAAATGCCGCCGCTTGTTTCAACAACATATAGGTATTGATTCCACCTTCTTGATGAGAAGGAGGCGATCTGATTAATTTCCTTTCATTAATAGGTCTAGTAAATCTTTTTATTTTATGAGCATCCGAGACTATTGAGACTATAATAAAGGTCCTACAAACTTGAGAATATAGTTAGTTTCTGATATTGCCGTAGTCATCGATACTCTACTGTATACGGAACGTTTACTGATCAAAATCCAAAACATAGCCTTGCAAAGGATAAGATTGGATCGGATTTATGGTCAAGGTTCTTTTGAGCTTAAGACTAAGGACTACGATAGAGCTTCACGATATTTTATTTAAATTTAACCCCTGATCGAGACAGGCATTGCGGAGGAAATATGACACATCTCAACGTGTTTAATACAGAATCCATTTAGCAATATGGGGTGTTTCTAATTATGCCAACCTACCAATGCGAAACTGATATCAATGTTGGTTATGAATGCGTTTAATTAGCTCATGGCTGTACGCCATATTATCCTCTGTGCTCGACATGGCGTAACATGTGTGAAAAGAACGACTTCGCCAACTCTTCGTTTAAACACTTGCTTACATTTTGGTGTCAAATCATGTAATTAGTCACACCGGCTAGTTAATATCCGTAGGCTCTCAAAATTAGCTTTCATCATCCCCTCAATCGTGCGAACCTGTAGCAGTAAAGGCTCGGAAAGTCTCAGCTGGCACAATATGCATGAATCGTTTAGTGTATTGAAGAGATGAGCGAATTATGATCAGGCCGCGCAGGGTCAGGATTTGTGACTCACCTCTTGAAACTAAGTTGATCGCCGTCCAATCCAAGGTCTGCATGTAAGACCGACCTAAACGTCATATTATGGTACTGCCCGACCCTGGGGATTCTGAAAGATGATTTGATTGGCAGTTCCAGAGGAGCCCACAACACAGAAAATGTAATCTTAGTCCAAAATAAATTAGTAGGTGCTGCGACAAATGGCTAGAATCATAAAATTTTAACCTTGACGGAAGATAAATCTAATGGTACTGCTTGAGGTAGAGCCAGAGACGTTAACAACACCGTACGTGGATGTCGATCCCATGGAACGTCTGGACACTTCATGGGCTACACCAACATACCGTGGCCACTTATCCAATACCACTGCGGATAAATCTACTTTTCGTCCATTTAAAAATATTTGAATTATTAACCGACAATTACAAATCAGCCGCGGATTGAAAAGCTTAAAGGTGCAGCATTACACAATCCCTTGCAATATTTATGTCTACTCATCCAACAAAGTGTAAGGTTTTGTGCTCCTTTAAGCATTGTTTGGTTTTTTACTGAGATCGAGAAATGTGCGGAATGGTGGGCCGGGACCAAAACCAGTGCAAATGATAGACTCTCGTTGCCAAACACAATCTTCCATTCTCAAATATGCTTGACTACATGAGCTTTATTCAACGTGTACCTTGAGGGCCCATTTATCATACTCTCTCTTGACCTGAAACTTTAGCGACAAGTAAGACTATCTTGGGTGCACTGGGGGCAATAATTAAATCCGATTATTTTTGCGGCAAACTGACAATGTGGCTAGATATATAGACTATATCGTACACATCCATGAGAGGTAATACCAGCTCAGTGGAAATTTGCCGGGATCTGAAAGCACGAAATTATTCCAGTCCTTGAATCCGTCAGTCTATAGACTGAGCTCGAGTGCCGTGATGTTTAATTGGGACTTGGTATTAGGGAATTTTACTCACTTATTAACTCTGGTCACTCCGGTAATCTCTGACTTGCCCCCACTTCAATTCCACACTTCATGTAGGAAGAAACACTAATTAGAGACTGGATCGGTATATTGGACTGCCCATGGGGATTCTGACCGTCCTGCGGGTTTAAACTAGGCAGATTATCTTCGTTCGCAATCCAAACACGTTCCTAAATCGCCATATTATGTAAGCGACACGTTGTCATGGTTTGCGGGTGAACCTTGTGGGTTCCTGAAGAAGGAATAGATAAGGAATTAGGTAGTGTAACTTTGGAAAGAAAGAGATTCTAGTACGATGGCCAAAGGCATGAGGAATGTGGAAGAGATTTGACACCCTGTCTACATGTCAAAATTAGACGTGACGCATTGCACCCACGCAAATTGGCAGATATCCTTGTCGCTCCTCCTATATCAAGATTAGTTGAGACCGGAGGATAAGAAATTATTTGAATTTACATTGCGTCCATCAAGACACACTTCGACTAGCTTGGTCCTTCATTGTGTATTCTAGTGTTCCGTGTATCTTTGCGTCTACCCTTTCTCATACCCTGACTTCACTACTAACGACCCAAAGCTGACTACTCTCTTAACAGCCAATTCCTTTAACCTCCACGCAGCTCACACCCTGAAGCAACTCTAATTACCGGAAATTTTGTTTACCCCAAATCATCGCAACTTCGCACTCCTTTCTTTTTATGATCTCATTTACTTTTTTCGTTGCTCCTTATCTCGCCTCTATCTTACCGCCAATAATCTGTTTTGGTGATGTAGACGTATATGGCTAGTCTCGCTTTCCCAAAAATGAGTAACCAATTTATTAGATAGAAGTCTACCCCGTACCCTTCTGTATAATGATGTGAATTTGCTTCACTTATCCATTTTCATTGACACCTCACCCTTGGCCCTCCTTCCCCCGTTAGAAGTTCACCACTGCCGGCCAAGCAGACTCGCTTATGGTCTCAAGTTTCAGTGCTTGCGGCCCAGAACAACAGCAACGCGCTTATAGAGCATCAACAACCAAATTTACCATTTCTACTTCATCATTCTCTAGTGTCCACCCCGGATAGCTGAATTGAACCTCAGCGCCGGCTTACTAGTTTTTTCAAACACCCTTGTTTTAGACTCCCCAGTCTACCGACATGTCGTATGTGCTTCCATTCCGTCATCCCTATTTGTGCACTATACTGGTTATTTTATTATTCTATAACGACTGAAGCACTCAGAACTGTTGACTAATTGCATGCACAGATTTGGCTCAGCTTTCCGCTCATTCTGGCATGCGATGACCAGTTACGATCGCCGTAGGCCTACCATTCGTCACTTTAGAGCACAAGATTTTGACTTTCGAATTAGATTCTTCCTACGATTCACCTTATCGGACAGGCCAACACGTTCCTTTGGCTCAAAACAGGCATGACCAACTCACTTCTATCGCCACCACTGCATCGGAGTCTCGTCCCGACGTCAGCTCTTCGTACTTTGATGGAAAACAATCCTCATATCTCCCGAACGGAAACTCCCAGCTAGGATCGCCCCCTGTTTATCAGTATAGTCCTACACAAAACTCGCCCTACTCACCTGGAATGAGATCAATAAATGCTCAGAGTCGAATAAGCACTCACGAAAATTTTGAAAACATGAGCCCTGGAGAGATACAACTTCAAGCTTTTCATGAGGGCCTTCCTCCACCACCACCTGTAGAGCATTCATGGAAACGGATTGATAGATGGGCTGAAGATAATTACCCAGAATTATGGGACCAATTATGTGAAGGATGTACGTCTAATGACTTAAACGAACTCGAACACCAATTAGACTGCTCTCTACCCCTCGAAGTTCGTGAGTCTCTACAAGTACATGACGGACAAGAACGTGGTGGAATGCCGACGGGTATCATATTTAGCTCTATGTTACTTGACTGTGAAGAGATAGTACAAGAGTGGGAGAACTGGAAAAAAGTTAACCAAGAATACTTAAATGAACCAATCAACATCAAACCAGCACTACCATTGAAAGCTCTTGGTGGAAGCTCTTCCTCATCTAAGTCAACATCTAATCTCGCACAAAATCCACTATGGCGACAAGACCTCTTAGCACGACAAGACTCTCAACCTTCAGACGCTATACAGAGGGTCTACGCTCATCCTGCTTGGATTCCTATGGTCCGTGATTGGGGTGGTAACAACCTAGCCGTAGATCTGGCACCAGGTCCAGCCGGGAAATGGGGCCAGGTGATTTTATTTGGTCGTGATTACGACTGCAAATATGTTGTAGCTCGTTCATGGGCAGCATTTTTAGCTACTGTTGCAGACGATCTAAACAGTGGAAGATGGTTCGTGGATGAAGAAACTAATGAACTCAAATTGAGAGAATTCAAGTCAACCAATGTAGAGCCAGGATATTTGGACATTCTCAGATGGAGGATGGACCGGAAATACGGGCGTAAAGGAGCCAGACGTAAATTAACAAGCCTCGCAACACATACTCAAACAGCTGGATCGCCCGTCTTATCACCGTACACCAGTCCGACCACCGAAAATGGAGAGTCTCGTGGCCGATCGATGCAAAGGTTTATGGGAGCTTCTCCTGTGTCTAGCCCCAACCGACCCTCTTTTGGCAAAAGTCCATTATCCAGAGTTACAGAGGAAACGTCGTTGCCACTTAAGAATTTAACAAATGACAGAAAAAGTGAAATTCTTGTTGAAGTCGAAACCCCACGACCAAGTGAGGATGAGAAATCAAATATGCTGGGTGGGCTACTTGAAACAGTTGACCTTGATACTAGGAAAAAGCAAAAATCTATTGGAATCAAAATAACAAGTATTGAAGTACCGAACGGAGCAGTAAAAAGCTCCACAATTGAGGACACGACGATGAAAACTGTTGAAATTTGAAAGAGTCAGCCCAATTTCTTCACGATTTAAATGAAACAAGGCGTTGAAGGTGCGTTACAATGGAAATCTTCGCTGAGCCCTAATGAACAAAACATGCATTTTGACTCTTATCCTTCGGCCCTACACAACCTGAGAATACCCTAGGCGTTGAGGAAGACATGATGGTCTATGTTAAGATTAATCTACGGTATGGTAATTCAACTTTGTGCTCTTTTCAACAAGCATCAACAGGAAAAGGTATCATCTCATGAATGTTTAATAAAGAAGAGCCCCAGTTATGGGAACAGCCATAACTTTGGCATGGAGGGCGGAATAATTCTCTGAAAAAGTGCGCATGATGCAACTCATCTTGATTTACCTGCTTTGTAAAGTTTGGCGAGTGTCAATTTTACTGGTGTCCTTGTACTACAAAGCAGCCGAATGGAATGAATAGTAGAGAGTCTCAAATCAAACCAATCTGCCACTCTTAATGCCCAGTGATAGAGATGGGAAGTGGTTATCATACTACAATGTTTTATTCAGGCACAAATACATTAAACTACTGAAATCCCTTTATTAATAATCCGGTCAACATGGAGTACCTGAGGACTTATTTGATCTTAACCCCTGTCACCAGTCGAGAATACTCCAAATCTACCGCGAGTAATAAAATTCTGGAATGGGTTTTCTCTCATGAAATAAATAAAATTCACTCGTAATTCTATGTAGCAACTTGATAGTTATTGATTCACAGAGATAATATTTCATTTTGATCTTAGTAGGGACAAACTTTTCCATCTTATCTTCCCTTCTTTACATCATCAGCACGTATTAAAATGGAACCATGTGAAATATATTTTTGAAACGCGACACCTTGATCAATACTCAAAACAGGAGGACGGTTACAAAAGTTTCAGATGAATCCATTTGTTATTTGTAACAGGATGCCGAAAAAACATCATTTTGCCAGAAAGCCGCACAATCCTCCACGCTGGTTTTCTCATCAATTTGAACAAACGAATCTCATGGTCGGTCTGCAAAGTAGAGTCTGGATAGCTTGGACACATATCCCATTCGAGACATTAGATCACTGGTTCAAATCCGGCAAAACACCGGCACTTTTCTCGCGGCGCTAGTATGCATTGATGACGAAGGCATGCTTGGATAACTAAAGGTTTCGAAATTCCCTTTGGTGGGTACTTACGGAGGAGGGTCGACTGTTTGTGTAAGCAAGCATACCTCATAGTGGTATATGTGAATGAAATCCAAAGCATGAGTGTCTCTTACGTCAAAAGAGTCATCCAATATATGTACACAGCACCTGTCATGTGTCATAGCTTTATAGCTGAATACGCATTAAATGATTTAAAAAAAAGAGCAAACGAATTTTATCTTTTTCTCAATCTTACTTGCTTGTTATCATGAAGAATTCTGTTCAATAACATGGCGGATATGGGAGTAGGTGAGGTGCAAACTAGCGGTTCCGATGTGTCGCAGAAACGACAATGGCAACCTTCAGCGAAGGTGGTGGGGGGAAGCCAGTTCTAAATGACAAGAAGCTTGAAATCCTAGGTAAAATATCCAAAGATATCAGACTCATAGGCATGGATGAAGTTATGGGAGAATTACCAATAACAGAGGATGTCAGTGAAGCCGTTAAGTCTTACGACTGTCACAAGAAGATCTGGACAGCGATATCTCATAACACATCTCCAGTCGTGAAGATAATTAAAGAACGAGAGGATCTTTGAGGAAGAGTCTGGCAGTTCCCGGGAGAAGAGCTAATCCGGCAGTGGGATTGGCATTGCTGGTAAAAGGGGCCAACGCGCCGGTCATAGCTCCATAAATGGCGAAAACGACGGTACAAACTAGATTCGATGACATATAGAGCCCCTAACCAGAAGAACTGGTTTTAAAGGCCAAAAATCACATAAAAGAAGCACATACTATTCGGCTGATACAAACCGAACACACAGAAGTTGTTAAGCAAAGTTATACTAATATGAACCTCTCTCAGAGTTGATTGAATTGATTATCCTCTATCATGAGGAATCTATCTAGGTACTATATACATCTTGAGTATCCTACTAATTCCAAATATAGACTGACTATTAGATTTCCCATTCAAACTGCTCAAATCTCCATTCCATACATTGTTCTGAAATTGGCTGTTACATTATCATGGGCAATAGAGAAAGTGAAACAACAAGGGAGTTGTGCGTATGAAATTGGCCATCCGTCTAGTCGCTAGTTGTAACATTTGCATGACTAAGTTATTGCCCTTGATGCATCAGCCCAGTTTACTTGCTTGTAAACTACTCAACTTAGACATCATGATACAATATTGAAATTTAGGGTTATCTGTCTGACAGAAGTTTTCGTTCAGTCGCTGGCCCCGAGGGTTGCGATTAAAATACGACACCCAGCCGAATAAAACATTTTATAGTAGGACTTTCCTACATATGTTTCCAATGTCTTACGTCTGACGAGAATTGAAAGGGGCATAGATGCAGACAACCATGCCACCATCAAGGAAAACGTGACGACGACTGGGTCAGATTCACGGCCTAGTGATAAATAGAATAAGTTGGTTATACAACAAAAAGTAGCATAAGGGATTGAAGGAAAATTGCTGCAATAGAGGATCAATTTTGGTCAGCTTCCCATCTGAAGCAATGCAAATAAAGGTAGTTCGAAGTGGCGTTGTGATAAATGCCATGCTATATACTGCACAGGTGTCGTCAACACGAGCCCAGCCAAAGCAGTTATTTAATTTCAGCCAGTAGGGACATACGTAGGCGTTGAGTGAAAAGAATGCCTGGTGTGGTGAATGTACTGTTGCTCACCAAATTCTGGACTGCTCCAGAAAAAGGGTTTCTTGCCCGAATTGCAGTATGAAACACCATTCATGATAAAAAGTAACGTGTCAGATTGACCAGGTATAAAAGGCAAGTAAAGAGAACACTTTAATTCAACTACTATCTCTAATAATGGAAATACGGGATGGGAAACTAGCTATGGTAACAAAATAAACGGTCGGAACAACGGATGATCAGGAGCCACTTTTGGTCAGCAATAAAAGACTGACAGACCAAAAAGAAGGCCGATACATCCACGCAAGGAGTTCGTGACCCACAGATACCAACAACAGTCTCAGCAGAAGTGTAGACAATGGGGCCAAATTTTCGAATACTCAGAAGACCTGAGTCGGGTGATGAGGTACGTTAAGTTTTAAATTCCCTATAACTTTAGCCTTATAGAAGTTGGGACTAATCAAATATACGTGAAGTTTGTGGGATAAGGATACAAATTAGCATCGGCATTAATTTGGTTCGTTTTAGGGTGACAGGACATCTGCTTTTCTCTTAACTTGCCTTACTATGTTCGTGATTTTTAAATTAGATACAAGATAGAACGTTAAACATGATTAAGTTTAATTTAGTACTGAATACAAATATATATCTATTAAAGAATGTTAAACTCAAGTGGATAGGGGACACAAAATGGGCATAATATTTCTAGAATTATAAGTCCTAGAACCGATTCCAGAACTCTCACTGGTAGCGGAGATAATATATAACACAACTGAGAGCCAGAGTTTGCATAGATATCAAGTTTAGAGTCAATCCCTTATCTAGCTTTAAATGACAGGACAATTTTGGCCTGCTGGAAACAGTTTCAAAATTTCGGGGGGATGAAAGCGGAACTTATATTAGTGGTGCCCTTTACAACCCAGAAGATGAAGAGTGCCTGCAGTACTAAGATTGAATCACTAAAACGGTGGACTTGAAAATTCCAAGGAGATTGCGGTTAGGAAGAGAGGTGTGGGCCTGGTTTTAGTTGAAACTACGAACCTGCTGAGATTTGACGACTGTACAAATATGCGAAATAAAAAATCCACCTAGTTTCGAACTACAGAAAGGCTCAAACCTTTTCATTGTTTATATTAAGGATATCTGATGCCTTAAACTGCCCCAAATTTCAAATTGAGATAATATGGAGTCGATATCCACTTGCAACCCTTTATACAATTATCTAACTGTTGAAAAATTGGTATTGATTCCATGAGTAAGACGGCTCAAAGAATATGGGAGCGATTTATGGACAGAATGATAATAATGTGAATCTGAAGAATATAGGATATACTGTGGAGAGATGAAATGAATATTCTTAATTAGTTTCTTTCTGGGTGATTTCAAGACCACATTTATACACATATCTTCATTAATCCAAATCAAAATTAGGTACTATTCACCAGTTCTAGTTCCATACTCTAACAAAGACGATGAATCGCATGATAGTTTACAACATAAGGATTAAAATAGGCTCAGAGTATCAAATTATTTCTCACGGATATCAAATCATACCATGCACCAGTCGAGACTCACAAACCAAACATACTGAATGAAGGAGGTGTCATTAATCTAGGTCGTGAGTAATGTGTGAGAATCTTAGTTATTCCAATTAAAGGGAAACCTCAGACACACAGGATCCGGATTTCCAACACTTACCACATGCTGAAGCTCTCTAAGAAATCCAAGGATAAAATTGCCATCTAAGCAACAAAAGGCTATCCAAATCTCCGTAACTCCCCCTTGCTGCTAAGGCTTGGTCAGTGTACGGGCCTACGTGCGTCTACTCGACTGTCGATGGCTTTATCAACGACAAGTCGTCACTCTTTATAACTCATTTCGTTGCCACGTTAACCATAGTTTTCGACGGAAGCAGGGAAATTGATATCAAGCTCATCAATAGATATTCTTACACGTAACTTCTGTGGTTAGGAGTGCAGCATCGATGTGGCAAGGTCGGGGACTAGATGTCTCGTATATTTCAAAAATGGAGAGATGGGTTGAAATTGGTGAAAAATCTCCAATTGAGGATGAAAAGAGGAGCTGATTGAAGGAGACCTACAATGAGGAAAACGACCTTGGGTGAAATTATAAGTCAAAAGGAGCAAGGCTGGAGGTAAATGGCAGCTTTCTAATAATCGAATGCACGTTAGCCAAGGTGAGAAATTT